ACTCCTACCAAATTTCAGCTTTCTAGGTCCACGGGAACAGGAGTTATGAATTTCCGTTCAAACACACACACCGACACACACACACAAGCACACAAACACACCGACACACCAACAGACACACTTAGCGAATTATATAAAGTAGGATATATAGTAGGATAAGATAGCTTATCAGCGCTCTCATGTACAACGTGTTGAGCCGGTCGGCCAATATTAGCACTAAACCTTTAAGCTGTAAGCTTCAAATGATATAACTTGTCTTGGCTTGATGTTTTGTTAACTGCTGTTTTTTCGCCGCAGTAAGCGATGCGAAAGTCTCACAAGATTGGCGATTCATGGACAGAACTGCAGTCTCGGACGGGACTCGAACCCATACTTGTGCATTCAGGGCACAGTGCTCTATCCCTTACAGTTCCGAGACCCCGCTCCCTCGCCTTCCTAATGGCTTATCACTGGGCAGTGATATGACTTCCGCAGTGTAAGCACTGTACATAAACCCTATTCTTTGTCAGTCTTCTGTCACCAACTCGTCTTAGTCGGTTCCATTCATTGGTTTTCCTGCCTCTTTCTTCTACCGACCACCACAGATGTAACAATGATGAAGCAACTCTATTGATAGTACAAGGTTATGTTGGTTAGGTACATAGACAGCCCCCAGTTGTCATAATAGAGAAAAACTATCTCATGCGCTAGAAACTCAATCACATCTATTGAAAATCATCCCGTTCTATATAGGAAGTGGGTTTTATAGAAACTGTTGACTTACTTCTTCACTAAGTTCGTCTTGAGATGTTGTGTGGTTGCAGTCTTTCTTGATGTATTTCATCCACGAAGTCAAACTGAAATTTATTGAATGCAGTTGCAAAGGGAATTACAAATTCAATCTAATTTCCAAAATGAGATTTCACTAGTGTATACAACCTCTCAGTTGGTTATGCGAATGGTCAATTAGCTTTTGGTTATCGTTGATCCTGTCTGTTTCTTATTCTAGACTGACGGGTGGTTGGACCGAATAAGCCTGACATTGTAGTCTCTAACTTCTCCCCTAATTGTAAACACTATTTAAAGGCTAACCAGACTGAGAAAGTAAATAGGAGCGCTGGAACAATCACGCTCCACCCATCGATGCTTTGTACGCTTAGTGGGAAATATATTCCACAAGAAGTGCTTAAAGGTCTTGAGGACCCCAAGTACACGCTTGGCGCATTCATTGTTTTGAAGCGCTGGTTACTATTAA